TTTCGTTAATAGCTCTTTTAACGAAATTGTTAATAGCTCTTATTATATTATATTAATTAGGCATCAGTGCCTAATTAATATAATATAATATAACCCCGTTATAAGTTCTTATATGTTTTTATTGTATCAATCGCATCTATTAATCTCTTATTTTTAGAATTGATGTTTACAGCGCCATCTCTCTTTAAATCTATACATATAATAAAAATGGTGATAACAACATGTTGTGTATGTTACTGTACATTGTATAATATATTAATTTGTGACTAAAATCATTATGGGGACTGATAATCATTAAATGAGTACATTTTTATAATTTTTAGAATTGTACTGTCTGACGGTCTGTCTGTTTGTATATGAACGCATGACGTTTTGGGTAAACATATTATTTTCAATGAAATCCTTAAGAAAATCATAAAGCATATCATCAAGTTCATTTAATCTTTGTTTTATTAAAAGTGGTTAATTCTATCAAAAGTTATGATTATTATTTTGAAATGTAGGTTCGAAATTGTTTAATGGCGCTATAAAATCTCAGAAATAGTAATAAAAAGATTCGTGTGTAAAAAAAACGTCCTATTAAGGTACGTTGGGGTAATACCGGACGGATTTTCGAAAAGTTGGAAGAGTCTGCCAAAAACTTTAATTTCTCGACATTCGTATACGTCAGATTTATGGAACATGGAGCAAACCGTTAATCGTTAAACGTAGTTTAGCTCTGAGAATCTTTTGCTTGTGTAAACTCAACGGTTTCTGCTTTAAAGGTGTGCGAAAACTAGACATACTTTTTTATATGCATAATGAAAAATTGGCCATTAAGGGGTAAGACCGGACTTAAATTTAAAACCACTTCTACTGCTTAGAGAAAAAAGTTTATAAAAGAGATTTGTTCTATATTTAACGCTCTAAAACATATTTCAATATGATCTATAAATTACTACAAACATAAATGTTCCAAACGATTTTCTCTTTTTTTGTTTTTTGCCATCCGATCTTATCCCTGATATAAAGAAATTGTAATTTTATGTTTCTCAAACTTTGTTATGACATAAGATGGAATTACTCAATATAAGAGAAAGATCGGATGCATTTGATTTTATATGGGAAAAAAAATAACAGTAAGGACTGGCGAAATGTCCTGGGATAATGCAGGAGTCAAGGAAGATATAAATATTTTAACAAAGCGGCATTTATTATTATAAATTATTTTTTAAATAATTATTATAAATTACATTTTGATTTGTAATAGAGGATAGATATAGATGTCTATGGGCCGCAGCAATCACTTAACATCAGGTGGACTGTGTGCTCCTTTGTCACCCTTATCCTATAAAAAATGTATTTTAATGTGTACTTAAAAGTAATAAAACCAAAAGTAATAAAACCATCGTATTGTTTTATTACTTTTAAATATACAGACTTGCTAACGAGACTGAGTCCCAACGAAAAAATATACACGACCAATGAAAGTTTAACAACCACTGCCATATTTGTAACAGGCAAAGATCGGATAATATTCATCCGATCTTCACTCACGCGGGGAAACATCGGATCTCGGCCTACAGCGATCTTACCCCTGCATGGGCCAACTTTATTTAGCTATAACTTCATAAAAATTAGTATCCACACAAAATAATAACAAAAGAAGCCATATTCTCGCTAAAAATCGTAAATAAAAGTGATAGGGAAAGATCGGATGGACAAAAATAATACAAAAATTACATTGTTTTATAAAATGCCACGCAGCACAAGTCCCACTTGCCGGAGTGACTGGCGCGAACTGAGGGTCGGGGCAGGATGAAATGGCGTCGTGTAGCATATTGTTAGCTTTTCAAAATATAGCATAATTCGCCGGGAATTTGAATCCTACGGTCTTGCCCCATCACCGATCTTACCCCAACGTACCTTATAATATATTTATACTTAAAACACAGTAAAAAGAAATATGTTTTCCGTAAATTAAAAAAAGGATGTTTTCTCACAAAGAACGTATTAGATGGCGTTGTACAAATTGCAATCTTTTCTGAATTGCGGTGTTAAGATTTTTCGCCGGTGAATCGTATTGAGACTCACTCAAGAAATTTACGTCCATGAGTCCGATAAAGCTGTAAGAGCCGTGTAGGCTAACATCAGAAACAAAAATCTGAAAGAAAAAATACTACGTACGCCCAAGTTATGCAACAAAACCCGACTAAAAGTAGCAAAATTGCAATAAAATGTGGTGATATTGTTTTATACCCAGAATCCCTCTAATAGCAAATAACTTTCCTTTCAGTTTTAAGATAGGGATGATCGATGTTGCAGATGCAGAAACATCGATGATGACATCGATGTTGCAGAATCATCGATGTTGGCATCGATAGCTCAACATCGATGTTCGATGTTTAGCCTACTCAAAACATCGATGTTGACCAGTATCGATGTTTTTTGTATATGTGGGTATACACAGCAAGGGAAAAGTAACAATTAATTTGGATATCAATTTACGTAGAATAGTTATTATGCAACAACCGACAACGACACTACAGAATGAAGCGAAAGCAGTGACCATTGTGACCAATTGTGACATTGCAGGTGACACTTGACGATTAAGTTTGACACACATAAATGATATTTTTTTAGGTTAACGAAGCGTTCAGGAATTCTGAATTATTCAACATTTTTAATCTTCAGAGCAGATGCAATATTTATTTAATATTGATTTCGCGGGTTCGCATTGTATGCAAGTTCCCAATTATCGATCATGGGTTCATTGACATCGTTGTTTCCATGTTTGACATGTGTGATGTTTAATTTTTAGCATCGATGATCATCGAATAGCTAAGTGGGAAAGACGTTTAAAATAGGGATGTATTTTAAGAGTGTTCCCCACTCAGCGTGTGTTATGCGATGATCGTAAATAAAGCGCAAGGTCAAACTTTACGCGTTGCAGGAGTGGACCTCAGTACTGATTGTTTTGCACATGGCCAACTATAGATTGCTTTTTCCCGCGTTAGTAGTCCCCGTAACCTTTTTCTGTACGTCCCGGGTAAGTTTCTAACGTCGTTTACACAGAAGCTCTATTATAAACGACTTAGAACTTTGAGCATATCGATTTATTTTGTTACCACTTATTGATACAGTAATAGATCGTTTAATATTCTCTTACCCTAAAGTCAAATTCTTTAAGTAAAACCTATATACGCGAGCTACGCCGCGGGCTGTGCCCGTATAGTATATAAATAAATATGAAAATAACATATTATCTATACACAAAATTTCATTCAAATCTTTACGAACTGTTTCCAAAAATATCAATAATAACATATTATATGCATATATACAAGAATTGCTTACATAAAGCATAGAATAAGTCCATGATTTACGTGCATATTACTTCTGTCCTAATGGCAGATGACATCCATAGTAGATCAAGGGCTAAGCGCTTGCTGTAAATTTCACAGTACGAGAGCAACTGGCACGAACGAAATAGTTAATTTCAATTTTAAGTGGTGATTTACCACGTGCTCAGCGGTAAAGGAAAACATCGTGAGGAAACCTGCATGTCTGAGAAATGAGAAAAAAATATTTCGAAGACAAGTGAAGTTCGCCAACACAGTTTCCTTGATCTAAAACCCTCAGAAATAAGAGGCCTGTGCCCAGCAGTGAGACGTATATAGGCTGTAACTTTAACTTATTTAACTTTAATGGCAGTACCATTAGGCCATCTTAAACATTATGTGTTACATATTCTCAAATATTCTGAACTAGATTTCATGTAAGATTTACTTCTGTTATAATGGTAACATGTTAATTTGCTTCCAATGATTTTTTGCGTGGAAGTGCATTTCGTCATCTTGCGTGTTTTGTTTCGCGGCATCAAAAATATATACTTTATGGATTTATTATGAGTAAACAGAACCAGAATTCCAACCATATTTTTTTTTTTATAGAACGAGGCGTGTACTTAAACAAGTACACAGTGAACATGATAGTATTTAAGTAAATGCTATGTCCATAAACATACATTTATCCTCGATTAAGGACTGACAGTTCTCATAAGATGAATAATAAAGGGTATCCGATTCTCTATACTCATCATACAAAGCATTATGCTGATATTCTGCTAGTGCTGGTTGTTAGTCCTTTCCAGGTCAAGTTGACCCTTTTATGATGCAACCATAATATAGCTGCAGTATGACTCTACCATGTTAAAATGTTTAATTATTTAATTATTTACACAAGTTACTTGTAAAAGATTTATTAAAATGTGTGATTTGATTTTAACATTTTTATTATAATGAGATACATATATTACAGCCATTATTTATAATACGAATAAAAACAATATGTTAAAAAAACTTGCTTGTAAAGTTGTATTTTTATTGTAATCTGACAGTAATTTTCTATATTTACGTGAATACTAAACAATGTATAAAAGTAATTTTCGAATTTTATAGCGTTAAAATTTACTTATTTTAAATTCCCGTCAATTCAGGTGTTTACAGCAACAATGGTCACGGGGGACTGAGGTGTTTGAGGTCCTGATGTCATAATTAATCTGAGTTACCTTCAGCTTTTCATTATTAATTTTTTGTCTTATCTTCGCAGAACGAGCTTATGCAACCTTGAAGTCTTGCAGTGGTATACTTAGGTGCAGATTTAATTTTATTAAATATGAGATGAGATTCCAAGCCGATTTTAGCACTGAGCAATTGTGACGTCGCTTTTTTGAAATATTCGAGTCATTTTGTTTTTGGATAGACTTCTAGTAAAGTATCCATATTATAATTTAACAGTTCTAAGATATAAACCAACTGTTGTCGGTTACGTGACCGATGATGAAAAGGACAAATTAAATCATGTACATTATAATTCCTGCATGTTAAGTAATTATGCAAACACCATATAATCGCTGTTTCATTGTGACTCCTAATATAATAATATTTTATACAATAATATATACATGTATAATAATAATAATAAAAACAATACTTTTACTGGATTTCAATTGATAATAATTATATATTTTCACTTTTTTGATATTTACGAAACTTTTCACCAATAAAGTTCCAGTACTTGCTTCTAATTTTATCATATTTCGTTGCTAAAGACTGACAAAGCTCTAAGGCTCTTTGCGCGTTATACAAAGAATTTGTCTCTTCCTTTTTAATTGCTTCTTCACAGATATCTATTAGAAATGCTAATAGATAAGGTGAACGACATTTGTTCAGATATAACTCTTCACAAAAGGATGTGACTATAGTGTTACCACTTATTCCTTTCTTATCATGTAATAATACACCTCGTAAATAATTCCATGCACTCTCATTGTTCTTCACAAACTTGATTTTTTCTAAAGTATAACAAATTTCTTTTTGTACATTCATATCAGTCCAGCCGTGATGATTGTTCATTACAAAGTAACGTTGATTCCACGCTGAATTGTTGCGAACATCTTCAGATATAAGATTGTCCACAAATTCCATTTCTTTATCAAACAAGCTGTAATGTGACATAAAATTTTTGTATATTGTGGCTGATATCTTAAAGTCAACTAAAGGAAAGTAATAAAATGTCCTCTAAAACCTCTAAAATTGATAGACCTATAAGCAGTCACTAATGGCGATAATTTTTTATGTTTAAAAATTGTTACCACTACACTAGGATTTTCTTCTGTATTGTGGAGGCAGTTTACAAACAAATTGCACGATGACAATCATCCAGACCCGGAACAATTATTTGTAGGCCATACAAATACTTGTTCCGTGCGGGATTCGAACCCGCGGCCCCCGGAGCAACAACTCATTGCTAAGCCACTGCGCCACGGAGCCGTCAAAATTCGTTACTTCATATCAATTTCATAGGTGTGGAAAGACAACTATAGAAAAGGTCAAACCCCTACTACCTGACTTAATGGCCTTCAATAGATGCGGTATATCATCCTGTTAAAAATACCAGAAATCCATATACGGACCTATTGACGACGCCGTGGCGCTGTAGCTTAGCAACGAGTTGCAACACTAAGAGCCGGGGATACGAATCCCGCACGGAACAAGTATTTGCATGGCCTACAAATAATTGTACCGCGTCTGCATGTTTGTTTTTGTGAAATTTATGTATGTAAACTGACATCACGATACAGGAGAAAATCCTAGTGTGGAGGTAAAGTTTTAACAAAAAAAAAATTATCTGCTTTTCTATAAATAATAAGCTTTAGAAGAGATTCGAACACAATATTAGCAACTCTTTATGTAAATACTTTCTACTACATTAATTTTATGTACAGAATGCTAACAGAATGCTTAGTTTATCAAATCTTATGGAAGTGGTGTACGAGAACCCATCACCTCATTACGTTTGCCGGGTAATGTAAGAGGGGACTATAATTAAAACTAAAAATCCTATGACTTCCGCCGATGACGGTATCTCGTTTATCTCAGACGTAAAATACTTAAGGTGGCGATAAGTATCAGCGTCAACGGGAGAAGCCCATGTCGAAAAGTGAACTTTTAACAGTGGGACTATAAAGAATATGAATTCATATTGACTGTCATTTTATACAGTAGATTTATGAATGTATCTTTCCATGTATGCCAATAGATGACACTACTATTTAGTTTGGCAATAGAGTATTATTTTCATTCTCAATATAAACAATATATTTATCTAGATCTAGCAATTACTCCAGCTGCATTTTTGAAAGTGTAATTATATAGTTGGCAAAAAAACAATAGAACTCACCCAAACGTTTTTATTGCCCATTGACGGTGTTGCCAAGCATGGTAGTTCTTAGGATCCTGCAGCAATGCATCGCGCGTCAGTTCCAACTCTAAACTTGAATCCTTGAGCCATTCCACAAGAACTCGTCTATGATGCCACACCTGAATTTTATAATTAATCTGTTAATTATTATTATATACTTAATATAAACATTTTAAAGGACTCAATTATTATGACTACAACATGTAGCAGAAAAACCAAAACACACTTTTCTAGTTTGGTTTTAATGAATAAAAATACCTGCAAATATCTATTTTATTTCCCCGTTTCTTCTCCAGTCAGAGAAACCTCATTTTGAAACAGTGGTAGATTTGAAAAAAAATACATTTAACCGGTTCAGTGCGGGTGGCACGCCAGGCGTGCCATCGATTACTTTTGTGTGTGGCGTATGACACGCGAGTCGTGTCTTTTAAAAATTTTACCAGAACAAAATATTCATTATTTTGCAAGTAGCTCATGCCTGCGGCTTCGTTTCTGGATATTTTGAAAATTTGAAATTTTTAGGGGTTGACAACCTTTTTAAATTGTACATGGTACTTTTTTACTTTGTGGGTGTGGAAAACAAGTCTCCTGTTAAAAAAAAACAATGCGTTTGTCTTATTGTTTAATTTTGCTTAAAATGGTTGAACTGCCGTCTTATTACTATCATATGACCGAATAGACCTACGAAGTACCATGTGCTCTTGTGATATGGTATAAGGTTTATTTTTGCTTGAAACAGTTTGAAACCGTTCATGCATAAAAAAGTTCGCTAATAAATAGTCTTTTGTCAATCCGCCGCCGTATAGCCCCGGCTTTTGTTTCCTTTTGAAAACACTTTTTCTGCTACTCTAACTAATTAGACGTTTTCAGATCGACTTTACTTTTAAATTTGTATAACATTAAATAATATTTAACATTTGTAAATATCAATGAATCATAAACCTTATTTTTTTCCAAATTGAGGATCTTGATTGTTTCATATTTACAAATGTTATTATTAGGTGAAAATTTCATTTAATAAGGACCAAGGTTTTACAGGGTGATTTAGCTGAACCTACTTATATAAATGATTATTTTATAAAACAAAAAAAATAGTACAAAAGGTTTGTAATCTCTGCATAAAAAAAAGTCACTTACTCTCAATGGGTCTGACCACCCAATTTTGTTAAGGGTATCAAAAAATTGTATAAAAAATTACGAATTCGAATACGGTATTCTTATTTTTTTTTCTACCTTTAAAAATGACTGAAATATTGATGAGTAAAATGGTGTTTTACGGTAAGGGCGACCGCTTTGCTCCGCATCGCGATGTGACGTCAAAAACGACACGTCGATGCCACCAGTAGTATTTATTGTTATATTTTTCTTATTCTCTCCATATTTATTACTCCATATTTTTCTTGTCATGTTATTTATTTATCACTAACCTTTATTTTCTGTTTTTTTTTTTTAATTTCTGTTATGTCACGCTCCTTGGGAATAAAATGGTAACCTACGATACAGGTTTTACCTAGTTTAGGCACCAGTTTTTCACCTAACAGTAGTATTGTATCAGATGTAAGCACATATTTTTTGTTTTCTGAATGTATATTGTTGGTGAAAATAAATAAATAAATAAAATAAAATAAAAATAAATTTCATTTTACTGGAAAAAAATCATATAAAAGCTAAATGTTCAATACTTTAGTTTATACATCAAATCAAATAGTTTATTTGTGATTCACAGTTTACATAAAGGTCTTATTTAAACACAAATAAAGTTCAGTCTGTGATCAGCCTCATGGGCATCATCATCATCATCATTACAGCCCTTCATAAGTCCACTGCTAAACATAGGCCTCCCCTAAGGAATGCCACAAAGTACGGTCCTGAGCCACCTGCATCCATCGACTTCCTGCATGTCTAACCAGGTCGTCACTCCATATAGTGGGGGGTCGCTCTACACTTCGTCTACCGGTACGGGACTGCCACTCGAGAACCTTTCTTCCCCATCGGTTGTCGGTTCTTCGAGCTATATGGCCGGCCCACTGCCACTTCAGCTTACTAATTCGTTGGGCTATGCTATGTCGGTTACTCTAGTTCTACTGTGGATATACTTATTTCTAAGTTTATCACGCAGAGAAACCCCGAGCATAGCCCTCTCCATAACTCGCTGAGCGACCTTGAGCTTCCTCATACGGCCAGCAGTGAAAGACCACGTCTCAGATCCGTAAGTCAACAACAACATGCACTGGTTGTACAATTTCGTTTTCAGGTTTTGAGGTATGTCTAACGAGAAGATGTGTCTTAGTTTCCCAAATGCTGCCCAGCCGAGTTGAATCCTTATGGACATACAAATGTCAAATATTATGAATAGTTCATTGATTACATTATTCATAATAATAGATTAGATTATTAGATTAAATTATTCATCATAAATAATTTTGATTACATTGGGTTAGATTAGATTATTCATAAATTATTAGTTCAAAATTATTATATAGTCGTTGGGTTTATTACAAGTATTATGTCATCTAATACAGTCAACCGGACATTAACTCTGACATTCGATATAATATCTACATATTATATCGAATGTCAGAGTTACCTACGTAAACGACCGTATACTTCCGAGCGCGCAGTTAGTACTGAACTTAGCAAGTTCTCTCGGATTGTGACGTCACGTCACAGAGAACGAGCGGGTAAAAATTAAAATATATTGCGAAACTTCAAAACGTTATAATTTTCGTATTTCTGCACCAATTTGGATGAAACTAAACTATTGTTATTTTCATAAACATAACTTTAAAGCTATGTAGGTTTTATTGTCAAATAAGAACATGTTGGTGTGACCCATTTCAAAGATAACACATAGAAAAACACGTAGTTACCCACTAAAAACAAGTATCCTTCCGTTTGTAACTGATGTTTGATGTCAAATAAACTTAATTAGGTCTAAACAAGTGATAAAAGCATAAAAAGAACAGTACTTTTACACATAGCTGATGGCACAATAGGCGTGTCATCAACTTGTGTGTGAAATATTTGTTCGCCGCCACAGCTAAAAGTTGTCGAAAATCGGTGCCGCAACGAATCGGTTAACAAACAAATTTGCTTTCGCGTCGAAGAATTAAATAATATAGCGAATATAATGGGAGCTGGTAGCGTGACCATGTCAAATCCAGAAAACCCAACCTCTCTCGCCTCGCGTTCGAAGTGTGTAATATTTTCCATTTCATTTTATAATGTTGATAAAAATTTACATGCTTCATTTGTTACAAAAATAAACTTTCAATAAAAATTCCAACTACAAAGAATTAAAAAGTGAAATGATTCTCACATAATAACTTCTGAAGTCAGTGCTAAGACCTAAATTATGCTATAGACGTAGATTATGTAATTCTTTTTGGTTTTCTGAAGTCTGCCTTTGTTTTAGTGTATTATATTTTCATATTGATACCTATTTTACTTTTTCTTCTCAATGCACTAAGGAATATCACAAGCTTAAGATTTTTAGTCGTAAGGGTTACAGTTAAAAGTTAAAACTACATTGCCTAATTTTTCACCCTAAGGGGCTGGAATTTTTTCACAAATTTATAAATGACACCTAGTGTAGTTTACCTATTTGAAAAAAAATCATTAAAATCGCTTCACAATTCACAAAGATAGCACTTAACATACATACAAAAAAGAATATGCAGTTGAATTGAGAACCTCCTCCTTTTTTGAAGTAGGCTAAAATATTATAATTAATGTATGGTATTTAAGATTCTTCCTTCTTTCTATCACATTATTATTATTATTATTATTATTATTATTATTATAATATTTAGTATTTGCTACCATGCTATTTCTAAGTTGTTTTGTGTTGTTAATTATTGTGTAACTTAAACAATTGTAAACTGTTCTTTTTTCAAAAAAATGTCCCACTGTGTTTCTTACTGGTTCTTCTCAGAACAAATGTACTGTTCAAATCAGTGGTCACTCGGAAATGCGTGGTCATCTATCCACCGCAGACTTCATTTTTATTTGTTCTTCCTAATTCTTACTAATTCTTACAAACTTAATTAAAAAAACATATTACGAATTGCCGTTACCGTTACAGCCTATTAAAGTCCATGCATTACTGCATTATGTGCATTTAAATCAAATTAAACTTCCTCGTTTTAAATAATATAAATATATTTATTATGAAATTATAAATAATACTTATTGAAGGTCACTAGACCTTCAATAATTATTATTTATAATTTATGTTGAATTATAAAGTTTCTATTCTATCATATTATATTTATTTTATTAAACTCACTTGATAATTTTTTGGTGACTGCTTTATTACTGCTTCTACATAATCTAGTTCAGATTTTAAATCTGTACCCAATGCTTGCAACAAGTCTCTTCTGCAACAAAATAGGATCATTACTTTTATACATGAAAGTTAAAAAGAAAAATACAATATTAAAATATAAAATTTTTCTTCCCAACTGTTCTGGAAGAAATTATAAGCACATTATGACACCCACTTTACATACACTATATTAATGAAATTAGATTACGTCATGTGAACAGTATATATTAAGTATGTAATAACATTAAACTTATACTAGCGATCCGCCCTGACTTGGCACGGGTGATTTCTGGATATCAACAACAGCGCCACCTACCGGATCCAAATGTGAATCACACAAAAATTTCCTCAAAATTGGATGAGCCATTTTTGAGTTTTAGGGAGACTAATGGACAGCAATTAATTTTTATATATAGAGAACAATTTCAAACCATTTGACGTTTTGAGCCTCTCCCAAATTTGACAGAAACATTATAGCAAAAAAAAATCACTCCAAGTTTACAACTATTATCAACACTACAGTAAAATTAAAGTCTCTAAAGATATATAACATCAGAAGTGTGCGACGCAGATAGAAGCTGATAAAAGAGTAACTTATCACCTGATTATGATGAGCTTAGACATGAGTATGAGTTTTCTTAAAAAAACTACAAAATCTTTGCATGTACATACAGGTGTCAAGAAGCTTTGGGCTAAATTGGTGCCATGTGAAGCTAGAAATCCCCTTCCCCAATTCAAAAAATCTCCTCAAAAGTAAATAAAATAGGTCAAGAAAAAAAAGATATACACATCATTCTTTGGAATGATAGATTCTTAGGCAATAGTTATGTCAAAAAAAATGGGTCCACTCCTCTTCTCGTAGTACCACTGAATTCGAAAACGAAAGTATTAGCTACTCGTACTCCTTACCTTGAATGAATGTTGATTTTCTAAAATCTTTAAGTGTCATTCACATAGCAACAATGCTTATAAATGTATATATGTATATATAATGCTTATAACAACAGTCCCTTATACCTTATATACAGGTGAGCTTTTGTGAGCCATTAAGCCAGGCTCACCAGCATTATGCTCACTTTATTTGCTTCAACAAAGTAAAGATATAGAGCGCCCTTTAAATCTGATAAAGCCATGCAAAAAGTCTACTCGTCTCCGTTAGGACCACGTCCTCACATAATACCAGCATGAAAGAACAGAATAAAGCTGCTGAGTTCCGTAACACATCTGCATTTCGAATTATAAATGTAGATATCTATGTACATAGATAAATATTTAAAAAAACCTTATCCATTAACAAACATTCACACACATATACACACACTCACACACGCACGCACGCACGCATGCAGGCAAGCACGCACACGCACACACATGTGGTTTTGGTGCATTCCCATAATATGTCAGTATGAAATAGTTTAATAAGTTGAATTGCTCAGTAGACACAAATATAATGTCTACATACAAAAATAGGTTGTACTTCTTATTTTTCTTAACATTTATATAATTCTAACAATCAAACTTGAATTAATAATATAATATTTATAATATTTATAACTGATGAATTAAACAACATAAACACCGCATTAAGAATGAAACAAGTTAATAGAGAATTTAACCATCAAAGTTACGTTTCTCTTTCAAGATAAAGCTTGTTTAGTTACATAATATTAATTTGATAAAGTACAGTAAATATATAAATATAAATAAATATTACCTATATTGCCAAACAGTATAGTTTGCTGGATTGAGTTCCACCGCATCTTTAGTCAATTGAAGAGCACGTTCAGATTTTTCGTTATTTTGTAGGATGGCCCGGAAATAGTCATAGACGTCTTCAACTGTAATTAGCAACATTCCACACATTAAATTATACAATTACTATAGTATTCTAATTTCATGACAACACTATTGATGATCTATGTCCCAGTTTTCTGGAGCTAAGTAGTCATACTAGCAAATTAAGAACCTTTTTTTTATAGGATAAGGGTAACAAACAAGCACACATTCCACCTGATGGTAAGTGGTTGCTGCAGCCCATAGACATCTACATCTATCCTCTATTACAAATCAAAATGTAGATGCATTGTCACCCGTGAGGACTAAGATGGAATGCCTCATTTCCAGTAAAAAGTGCCTCCGGCCACCTGCACTCACCAAGCGAAACGCAGAGATAAACCTCTACTTCACGCTGGTTTTCTGTGAGGTCTTGGTACCACCCCGGTTCGAGCCAGCCCATCCGTGCAACAGCAAAAGCTGCCGCGTGGCTCTACCACTGTTAATAATTTTGCCCTGCCGCTAATTTTCAATTTTCACTTCTAAAACACTTTTTTCTGTTAAAGAAGCTGCAAAAAAACTTACAAGTAGACTGTTTTTTCTCCCAACAATTACCATTTATCCTTTATATTATAGTACAAGTCAAAATATTATTAAAATATTATATTTAAAATAACATTAATTTCTCCACATTAATTTTTTTTTCATGATACATTAAAGTATCCTGGTCACTTACAGCACAAAACTAGAAAACAAGAGTGTACAACCAGTGCTTGTGCCAGAGATGACATATGGATCTGCGACATGGTCCTTCACTACTGATTTTTGAGGAAGCTCATGGCTGCTCAGTACACTATGAAGAGGGCTATGCTCAGGGATTTTTGGAACAAAGTTCTTTATCACACGGTGCGATTTTGACGGATGGGGGAAAGGCGAGAAAAAGTGTAAGATTTTTCCTTCACAATTTCCTTTCTATAATACAAGCGAGATGCAATAATATCCAACCCCCTTGCACTTTTTCTTACCTTGCCATGAAAGAAATATTATTTTTAATTAATTTTAATAGACACTAGTAATTCATTTATTTATTTGTAGTTGTTAATCAATAATATAATATATTTATCAATAATAATATACTACGAAAGGTATAATATACTTTGTTCCAATCCACAACATTCGCACATTTTTTTTTTGGTGATAGACTTTAAAAGAGGATATCCACAGTAGAGTAACCAACACACCTCAATGAAATCAATAAGCTGAAATGGCAATGAACTAATAATAATAATATTTATTGGGTAATAAGTACATTGTAAATTGATACAGTGTTATAGTTGAGACCTCCTTTAAAGTATTTAAAATACTAGTGCCAGAAGGCCACACCATAGCCTTATATTATAAGCTTATTAGCAATAATTTATTTCCCCTTAAATAATGAACTGGCCATATACCTTGAAGAACTAACAACCAATGGGGAAAAAATATTCTTGAGTGGTAGCCTTTCACCTGTAAACCAAGTGTGGAACAACCCCCCAATAAGTGACAACCTGGTTATACCAGGTTATAACCTGATACATGAAGTTGGTGGCAGCAGATGACTTAGGACCGTGCTATGTAGCATTTCTTGGGGTAGATCTATTTTCAGCAGTGGACATGTAAAGGACTGTAATGATGATTAAAATACCTTTGAAGTTATGAAAAGGTATTATTGTATGTACAATTTTATTTATCTTTACCTGAAAATGAATTGCACATAAAATAAACAATGTTCCAGCCTAGTTAAGGAGAGAAAAAGACAGCTGTAGGGCAAAGAAAAGCTCCAAATTAGAACAAATCTAGTGAAAAAAGTGCACCACTGCTGGTAGCTCAGTCACATAGAATGGATGGCAGAAGTCAGAGTATAAAGAAAGCATGAATCATTATTATTATTTAAGTATTAGCCAATGTTGTTAGTTGTTCTAAGATTAGTCACTATAGGTAGATACAACTTACACATGCTCCCAGCTAGTGCAGAAGCCAAAACCAACTCTATGCATCATAAAAGTAAGTGTGAGTGAATAAAAATACCCATTACCCAACTTAATAGACTACATAAAAATATAAAGTTTGGACAAAGTAAAACAGCATTTTTTGTTTCAAAGTTCAATCAGAACAGATGATTAATGAAGATACTTTAGATTATTTTCCAGTTACTTTTATACATTTTACTTATCACAAAACTTTTTTACATTGAAACATTTTATAACAGAAAGTAAATACCTACATTTTTCAGAATGTGCAATTACGACTACAGGTTTTGGACCATCGTTCTCGGGCACTGGAGTAAGGTCGCTCCATTCTGGTCGATCCTTATAGAATATCCAAGAAACATCACTATCCCCACTGTCAGACATAGCAGTATTTTTACAAAAAACTTTGTAAGCAGTCAGAAGACAATGTACAATCTTTAGTTAACAAATCATGAACACAGTGTATAACTTAAAGTTCTAGGCTTATATCGAAATCAAGTTTAATTACAACGTAATTCCCTTATCATAATTTATACGCCTCACGAGGATTTAGAAAGATAGTAAATTTTAAAGGTATAGGTAGTTGACGGTTAATTACAAAGACAATAAAGATAAATATATGAAAATACCAAAACATTCAAAACGAGAAAATGAAAAATGGGAATAGGCTTGGGCAAAAAATATCGAAATATCGATTTAATTAATAAAAATATCGATATATATCGTCGATATTTTAATTCGCGATATTTCGATATTTATTTGAGAGTTTCGAATTCGTATCATTATTCGATATATTTTAAAATGTAGTATCATTTATTTCGTCGTCCAACCGTCAGTAAATAAAATTTTGAACCTTACCTTCACATTAAATAGGCTGCACTAAAAGTATCGGGAATGGAATATTTCCACTGTTCCATATTAAATTTTTTTTTATCTATAGTTGTTGTATATCCTCCTAGGACCTGGCGTCCCCTATACGAGACCTTTTTTCTAGTACTGCCCTCCAGCGCCTATAAAAGTGTAACTTCCTAATTATTAGTACATTTATTTCAATGTAGATGTCACTTATTGAAAAAAAAAAATAACCATGTTTGGCGCTCATTTTTGTAAACTTTTGACAGCTTGAAGTTAGTGGTTGAAAATTTCTGCAAAAAATGGCTGCCCAAGGTAAGTTTTTAATTGATTTTGTTGAAATTAACGCATTTTAGTTTAAAAACGAATGTATTTGTTCATTTTTAAAGTATGTAAGATAAAAATAAGATATTGCTTTCAAATTTCCGCAAATATTTTACCGAGTATCGCGTCAAGTACATGATTGTCCCGTAGAGGGGACATGGGGTTTCAGACTTAATATTTTTATAGGTATTTTAATTGTTTTCATCCGATCGTTTTATTCATTTACTTGTTTTGTATTGCAGTCCATATGACGGATAGCGACATAGCAAGAATTTTAGAGTTTGATGGCAATGATTCTACCGTTGAAGGCCTTTCTGACGATGACTTCGAAGACAGTCAAGATCTTGAACCACGCCTGGAAGAGCTGGAGGATGAAGGTTCAAACGACGACTCGAGCGATGATGACGTACCATTGGCTGCTGTTGCTGCTCGTCAGACTTCAAGTCGTCGACTATATTTCAAGCATGAAAATTATTTCACTCCATATCCACCAGGCATGTACTGTCAACCTTTAGCTGCAAGTCGCGTTAATTTGTTACAAGAACCAATTGAATATTTTTTGAGATATATTCCTGAAGTAATGTTTGAAATAATAAGTAATTATTCAAACCAGACATACTTATTGAAGAAAGGTCAAAATCTGAACACAACTAAGGAAGAAATTAAATTGTTTTTTGGCATATCTATAGCTATGAGTTATTTGGGCTTGCCAAGGATTAGAATGTATTGGGCAAACAGGACAAGGGTTGCAATGATAGCAGACCGCATGACTAGAGACCGTTATTTTAAAATTCGGACAAATTTGAAACTTGTAAATGATCTTGAGGTGGATGAAGCATCCAAGCAAAATAAATTCTGGAAAGTTAACCCTTTGATCAAAACTGTGAGAAAAGCTTGTCTAGAAACTCCCAGATCTCAACATATTAGTGTAGATGAGCAGATGATACCCTTTTGGGGTCAAGTATCAATGCGGCAGTTCATAAGAGGAAAACCGAACCCCTGTGGTTTAAAAAACTTCGTGTGCACTACTCCAGATGGTGTGCCTTTAGACTTCTTCATGTATGAGGGCAAAGGAGATACAATACTCACAACCAATGAAGCTGAAGGTCTTGATATTGGCGGAAAAGTTGTGCTGAAGTTATCTGAAACTTTGCCTGAAGGAGTTAAGTTATACATGGACAGATACTTTACATCATTGGATTTACTGGACAAATTACGTTCAAAGAAGATGCAGGCAACAGGTACTCTTAGAAAGGCAAACATACCTAAAAACTGCAATTTCAAAACTGACAATGAGTTGAGAAAACAAGGACGTGGTTCTTCGGATCAACTCGTTCGCAGTGACGGTAATGTGGCATGTCTAAAGTGGTTTGATAACAAACCAGTAATAATGGCATCATCTGTTGATTCCAAAGAACCCATCAACAAATGCAGACGTTGGTGTAAAAAAACTAAACAGTATATCCAAATTGACAGACCATTTGCAATAGAGCAATATAATACCATGATGGGCGGTGTAGATATGTTGGACAGGGTCATCAGTTTTTACAGAATTAGAGCACGTTCCAAAAAATGGACTGTTCGTCTGATTTTCCACTTCTTTGACTTTGCGGCAGCTGCTGGATGGCTTGTATATAGGAATGAAGCTAAATTGTTAGAATGCCCTAAAAAAAACATTTTGGACTACTTGGAGTTCAAAGTGCAAATTGCAAATTCATTACTTTATTTTACACCAGCGAGGGAACAGATACACATAATTCATGAAGTAGATTCAGACGACTCAACAGAAGAAGCACAACCTTGGAGCCGTAAAAGAAAATGTATACCTCAACCTCCAGTTCAACTGAGGACAGCCATGGCTGGTCATTTGCCATTGATTGATGAACAAAATGACAATCACAGATGCCGAATGCCAGGATGTAAAAGCAAGAAAGCTAGAGTGTTTTGCTCTACTTGTAACATGCATTTATGTCTTGTAGTAGGACGAAATTGCTACAAACGCTATCATGAATCTGTCTAAGTAACTGTAACGTTTTTGTTTAAATAAACGTTTTAATTCATATTTTTTCGTTTTGATTACAGTATTAGAAAATTGACATGTTAAAACCCAGAGTCTTGTATAGGAGACGTACAATTAAAAAAAAACTAATAACTTATAATTTTTTTAAATATTTTTTTTTTATCATTTAGGGGTCTATAAGTCTGCGTTTAAAATTTTATTTCATTACCAAACACAAAGTGGTCTCGGGTCTGAGGAGCTTATATTTATAGTTGTCATATTAAAATCTTTTTAATTGAAAAGTCCTTGGCTTTAAAAATCGAATACCATTTATTTATTTAAAAAAAGATTCTCGGTCTTGTCACAAGGTTTTGTCAAACTTGTTCAGTCGTTGAGTAAATGGAATTGACTCGAGAAAATTCAAGAGCGATGATTTATTATGATTTTCGAAGTGGTTTAACACAAAAACAGTGTGTTGACCGGATGATTTCTGCATTTGGTGATGAAGCCCCATCCAAAACCACAGTTTATCGCTGGTTTGCTGAATTTCAACGTGGACGTGTCGGGCTCAGTGATGATCCCCGTCAAGATGTCCAAAAACTGCAGTCATCCAAGAAAACGTTGATGCTGTGCGTAAGCTGATTGAGGAAGATCGATATGTGACATACCGCGAAATTCAGCCAACTTTAGACATTGGCATGAGTCAAATACAAATAATCTTGCATGAACAATTAGGTGTAAAAAAGTAGTTTTCCCGATGGATACCGCATTCGCTCTGTGAAGAGCAAAAAGCGGCTCGCTTTACTTGGTTTGTCAGAACTCTCGAAAGATTCCACGCAGGATCCTCAAATGTTGTATACCACATCGTATCAGGTGACGAATCCTGGATATACGCGTACAAACCCGAAACAAAAAACCAGTCACGAGTTTGGGTGTTCGAAAATGAGTTAAAGCCAACAAAAATTGTTCGTTCACAGAGTGTTGCAAAAAAAATGGTGGCCACGTTTGTCTCCAAAATCGGCCATGTCACGACTATTCCTCTTGAGGAACAAAGAACTGTTAATGCAGAATGGTATGCTAGCATTTGTTTGCCACAGGTCGTTTCTGAACTCCGTAAAGAGAACTGCAACCGCCGCATCATCCTCCATCACGACAATGCGAGTTCTCACACCGCACACAGAACAAAAGAGTTTTTAGAGCAAGAAAACAGAATTATTAGACTATCCGCCGTACAGCCCCGACCTAAGCCCTAATGATTTCTATACTTTCCCTAAAATAAAGAATAAATTGCGTGGACAGAGATTTTCATCACCTGAAGAAGCTGTGGACGCCTACAAAACGGTTATTTTGGAGACCCCAACTTCCGAATGGAATGGTTGCTTCAATGATTGGTTCCATCGTATGGAAAAATGTGTCAAATTTCGCAGAGAATACTTCGAAAAGCAGTAAATACATTTTTAAATAGTAATGTTGTGTCACTTCCTTGATTCCCGAAATTTTCAGTGCCGCCTTCGTATGCAAATGATGACGATATATCCATATTTATCACGCGACATATATCGATACTGTTTAAAAATATAGATTCGATATATACCGATATATTTTTTCCCTTACCAATCCCCACAGAACACAATTTTTTACTCTTTATCAAGAGCTCATCCTTAAATGGGAACACAGAACAGAATAACATTGACAATGACCAACAATGACATTAAATGAAATGTCATAATATATTTTGTTTCTAATTTCTGTCCTAAATTCAAGGCAATAAACTATGATCCAACAGCCTAATGTATATCGATAAACTATTATAAATCGTTTGGCATTTGCATTTACTATCGCATTTACCACGGGAAGTGCTCGAAGAAATTATTCAGAGTAATTCCAGTTGCCCAATTCCATCTTTATACATCGCGACAAAAATTCGAGACACTTATCCTTGACAGCTAGGTTACACAAAAATATTGTATTTTTACTACGTTTTTATTAAGTCACTTTCTTGTTTGTATCTCTGTGTGTCTGTCGTTTCGGGAGGAATCTTGTAACTCAAATTTCGAGCACTTCATCAGATCATTAAGCATAGTGCTGAGGTCATCCAGTGTTTATGCCATAAGGACTATATTGTTGGCAAATCGAAGGTAAGTGATATACTCGCCATTGATGTTAATACCGTATCCTTTCTAGTCCAGTAGCCTGAAAACTTCTTCTA